GGCCTCCCAAAGTGCTGGGATTACAGGCTTGAGCCACCGTGCCCGGCCTAAACCACTTCTATAAGTTAGGTTTGGCAAATTGCAAAAGGAAAAGATGAAATTGACATAGCTTTTTGTCTTCAAGGTGTTCATAACAAAATACAAATAACTATTTAATTTTTGTATTTTTTCTACTAAATTTTTAAGAAAAATATGTTGATTCATTCATACACTTGTCCACTTTAAAAAGAACTATCATGTGTCTTTTATGGACTAAGAATTTTTCTCCAACGTTACAAAAGACATTTAAAAATACGGTTAGGAGATTGTTGTTACCATTGTCATTTATTCTGTTTACTCCCTTATGTAGTGCTTACTGTGTGTCCAGCGTCATCTGGGAGCTTATAGTTATTATTCATTACGTATGTGTATTATGTTTAGTATGTGCCAGGCATTTTTACATTTGTGGCAATGAATGCAAGCTTCTAAAATGTGGGTAGGATTTAGGGTAAGCATGTATAGTGAGTAGAACTTTTCCAGGTAAGGAGGCAGTAGGATGATGCTTGGCAGAAGGAATGTCTAACAAGCTTGCATGTTTGACAGAAGCAGCAGCCATGAAGAATGAAAGTTTTAAAAGAGGAGCAGCAAGTTCAAAAGGTAGGACACCTGAGTGAACTTTGTAGAGTTTATGAGCAGTTCAAATTTACTAGTGCAAAAAAAGTATATGGGAGTGGTTCGGAATGGGATGAAAATAGCTTATATTTATTATTTATTATGTATTTATGGTGTTCAGTATGTGTCAGTAAAGGTAAGCTCAGGAAATACTTTATTGCTGTTGTTTAACCTGTGTCTATAAACAAGTTTAATAAAAGACTTTTAATAGTATATAAATGAGTAGATCTTACCCTGTAGGCTAGAAGAAACTTCTCAGGTAGAATGCTTTTGGCTGCAAATACTAGAAAGACCTAACTGACAGTGGCCAAAACAATAAAAACCAGACTTGTTTTGGTCCCTTGATATTACTGGATCTCACTTGTTCCTCTTTCATTTATGATGTTGGCAGTGTCTTGTTCATGTCTCCTTTCATGGTTCACTACTTAGCAACAGCTCCAACCATCATGTTCTCACAAGGGCTGGTTTTCTTCACATGTGTCTTTTAAATTGAGAGAAAACTCAGAAGCATGCAGGGGGCTTCCTTTACTATCTTATTGGCTGGGTCACACCACATGCTCATCCTTGAACCAGGCAATGGGAAAGCACGTGTAATTATGCGATTAACTTAGAATAATCATTTCTCTTTTGAAGCTGGGGAGGGGTCTTGGGATAATAAATGTCGAAACGGATTTGTGTTTCTCCAGCAAGAAACAATAAGGAACTGCTCTTGGGTAGGGAGCCAGCAGTGTTTACTGCAGGAATTCATTGGAAAATTGTGAGCAGGGAAGGCATTGGATTAGATTTGAGAATTAGGGCATTCTGTTCATGGTATAAAGCAGAGATTGGCAAGCTTTTTCTGTAAAGGACCAAGTAGAAAATATTTTAGGCCATGTGGTCTCTCTCTCTCTCTTTCTCTCTCTCTCTCTCTCTCTCCAAAAATGATTTGAAAAGCTGAAGGCCATGTGATCTCTATTGTAGCTACTCAACCCTGCCATGGTGGTGAGAAAGCAGTCATAGGTAGCCTGTCGGTGAATAGGCATGACTGTACTCTCATAAAACTTTGAGAAAAAACATATGCTAGGCAGCATTTGGCCTGTGGTCTGTAGTGTGCTGACCCCTGATGTAGACGATAGATGGAGGATAGATGTCACCTAAGAGCATATAGTTATTATTTACTAGGTATTTTGTTATATTCATTAGATTCCATGCACTTTTAAATTTGTGGTGATGAGTGCAAGCTTCTAAAAAGTGTGTAAGATTTAGGGTAAGCATGTAGAGTGAGTGAAACTTTGCCAGATAAGGAGGCAGAGGGATGATGTTTTCCAGAAGGAGTATATAACAAGCTTGCATGTTTGACAGAAACAGCAGCTACGAAGCCTGCAAATTTAAAAAAAAAGAAAAAAGAAGAAGAAGAAGAACAAGAAGAACAAGAAGAAGAAGAAGAAGAAGGTGCAAAGGGTAAGACACTTGAGTGTCTCTACTCTTAACCACGTAGACCAGGGAAGCTTCAGCCGTAGTTAATGCTACAGTTTCCTTGTCACAAATCCATGGAGTACATGAGTCTTTTATAAGGTTTTCACCCATCCATGATAAAATAAAATGGTGGAACTCCAGTTTATTCATTTAAAATATTGGTATTGCCGGGCATAGTGGCTCCTGCCTGTAATTCCCACAGTGTTGGAGGCTGAGACAGAAAAATCCCTTGAGGCCAGGAAGTCCAGCAGCCTGGGAAACATAGCAAGGCTCCGTGTCTATTTTTTTTTTTAATGTAGCTGGGTGTGGTGTTCTGCCCCCGTAATCCCAACTACTTGAGAAGCAGAAGCAGGAAGTTGTTTGAGCCTAGAAGTTTGGGGCTGCAGTTAGCTGTGACAGCAAAATTACACTGTAGCCTGGGTGGCAGAGCGAGACCACACCTCTAATGAAAATCAAGTCAAATAAGATAAGATAAAATAAAATAAAATGTTGGTCTTTTTCTTTTTAAATTTGTTTTGCTTTTTTCTAAATTTAAGAAATGATAATGATAGTTGTTTTGTATAAGGCTTTCAGAAACTGGCTTCTGCCCAAATCTCCATCTGCAGCCCTTTCTCTGTCTGCCTTTTTTTTTTTTTTTCCCATTACTGAATTACTGGTAATGCCCCCATCACCATCCCTCTCATGTAGACAAATACATATGCTCTGGGAGGCTTCTTTTCCTCTCTTGTCAATGCGCTACCTTTCCTGCCTTCTGCCTCTTTTAATCTGGTGTACTTCATGCTCTAAGTCTCAGCTCAGGCATGATCTCTAGAAAAGCTATCCCTGACAGGTTTTATTCCCATTCCTTAAACCCCAGTGCCTACCACTTAGCAGGAACTTAACAAATATTTTGTAAAATAAAGATTGTTTATGCAAAGATGATTGCTACAGTCTAGCAGCAAAGAGGATAGACATGCAAAGACATCATGTACAGTTCAGATGGTCAAGTGACACTAGACAAATTGGCAAAGTACTAAGGGATCCCCAAGGAAGGAGACACCTGTGTATGTGGATAAAAATAGCCAGATTAAAAGAGGACTTCACGTAGCATTCTGAACCTTTTTTTCCTTTTTTTTTTTTATTTTTTCTGTTTTTGGAAACAAGTTCTTACTCTGTCACCCAGGGTGGAGTGCAATGGCATGATTGAGAGTTACTGCAAACTAAAACTCCTGGGCTTAAGGGAGCCTCTCACCTCAACCTCTTGAGTAGCTGGCACTACAGGCCCACACCACCATGACTGGCAAATTTTCTTTAGAGTCAAGGTTTCACTATGGTCTCCAGGCTGGTCTTAAACTCTTGGCTTTGAGCAATTCTCTCTCTTGGGCCTTGCAAAGTGCTGGGATTCCAAGTCTGATCTACTGTGCCAAGCCTACATTCAGAGTCTTAAAACACAAATATAAATTTGTCAGAATAGTAGAGGAAAACATTTCAGATGTGAAAAGCAGGATGTACACTAATGAAGATAGAACAGTAACAAAATTTTTACAAATTATTGGTAAATAATTAGCTTAGCATGTTGTTAAAAAATACACTATTAGGAAGTAGAGAATAGTGAAGTGTTACTTTATATGTTTTCACTGTATTTTTAAATTTTTGTTTCCAGCAGTTTTGTTTATTTATATTGAGTGGAATAATTTGTGGGTGACCATGAGATTTTTGCATGGCTTGAACCTGCTGATATCTAGTGTCTCCCCAAGTGGTTTGTTGAAGTTTTAGATAATTAGAAGTATTTCTTAAAAAGGTAAATATTGTAGTAAACATTAAGCTTCATTTAAACTCTCAATTTCTAAAATAAATGTATATGTTTTTTGTATCCATTTTTCTAAAGATTATAGTCTTTAACTGTTCTAAGTCATTCATTTAAACTCAATATATTTATTTGTTAGCAGAACATGACTTAAAAGTGGCTTCAGAGGAAAGGCAAGAAAGTCTTGAAAGAAGTGAAAGCCAACAGCCACAGGTATAAAACTATTTAAATTTCTGGTTTAATATAGGTTTGTTTGTTTATTTTTTTAAGATAACATACCATAGTCCAAATGAAGTGACCTTTTAGACTATCCTTTTAGAGTTCAACAAATCATAATTTCATATTTAATTTTAAAACACTTTAGCCAATTCTGATAATTTAGCATTTGCCTACTCTCCAGTTATTCTTCAGATGTATGAATTCACTGTAGGGGCTCACTATTTATGGTTTGCTGAGGTAAAAATCCTTTTCAGAGAGATCGCTTTATGATACTACATATCATCTGTCAACCCATTTCTGGCAGATTTAATTCATAATGAATTAAGTTTTCTTCAAACAGTGAGAGTTAAGCTTGCTGTGTTAAGCCAAGGCAAATTACATTTTTATGTTAAGCCAAGGCAAACTACTTTTTTACTTCTTAGTTATAATCCAGTAACTTATGGGTAGCAAACCATAAATTAAATTTCACATTTAAATTTTAATTATTATTATTATTATTATTTTTGAGATGGAATTTTGCTCTTGGTGCCCAGGCTGGAGTGCAATGCTGCGATCTCGGCTCTGCAACCTCCACCTCCTGGGTTCAAGTGACTCTTTCCCCTCAGTCTCCCAAGCAGCTTGGATTTCTGGAGCCCACCAACACACCCAGATAATTTTTATATTTTTATTAGTGATGGGGTTTCTCCACATTGGCCAGGCTGGTCTCGAACTCCTGACCTGAGGTGATCCACCCACCTTGGCCTCCGAAAGTGCTGGGATTACAGGTGTGAGCCACTGCACACGGCTGATTTTAATTGTTTTCTATTTTTTCTTTGTTCATACTTAACTCAGAATAAAGTTAATTTTAAAACATGTACCCGGACAGAAAAGACATCTGAGAAACAAAACAAGCAAATTAATTTTCCACTTCTGAATCTGCAAAAAAAAATCTCAAGAACCACAACTGAGTAAGAATTGTGATAAAGAACATGCATCTGTATATTCAGGACTTCCTTTAAAAATCATTACAAAAAATTCAGCTGAAGATTGGTGAAAGTTTTGAAAAATCCAAAATTACTGTTTGTCCTGAGGAAGAGATCTTACATAGTAACTCCAAAGACGGACAAACCCAAAGGGAGCGCCCTGTAATCTGATGAATCATTTCCCTGATCATGAGGAAGCAGATACATCTGGAGTGTTTAACTTTGTAGTATTCCAGACATTGCCTGAACAGAAGGAGCACATCTCAAACATGTCTTTGCATTGTGTTTATACTCTGGATCCCTCAACACACTTGCAGTCATCTTCTAAGCTTTAGTCAAATGAAAATAAATCAGACTGTAAAAATTATAACAAACCAGACATGTAGCCTGTTTTTCACAGAGATGAAGAGAATTGTTGTAATGATACAGAAATTGAAAAATTAAAGAACCCACTGGTTATGGTTGAAATGAAAGAAGACCGAGAGTTTGATATGCAAATAACAAAAAATATAAACCAAAACACTACTAATAGAAAATTAGACATTAGACATTGGCCTCAGTCTAGAGATCCAAAAAGTCTTTTTTGATTTGTGGTTTGCTCACTCCAAAGTAATGGAGAATATGATACAGATAGAAAGCCCCAGTATTTCTGCTGTTAGAGACACTTACAAAAATGGAAAACCAATACAGCACTTGTTCCACAAGCCATATGGAACTTAGAAGCTCTTCTAAAGCTTAGAAGGTGACTAGCAAGTGTGTTTCAGGGACCCACATGTGACAGTCCCACTGCTAATAGCTATAAAAGCATGAAACCTGAATTAGAAAATGTGAGTTATTCTTCACCACTTAGTGACAGACCATCAAAAGCATATCTAGCTTGCCAGTCATCTTCTAAGCTTTATTCAAAGGAAAACAAATCAGACTGTAAAAATTATAACAAACTGGACATGTAGCCTGTTTCTCACAGAGATGCAAAGGCTTAAGAATGAGGCGGGCATGTTACAAATAGAGTGCCTGGCTTTGAATAAGAAAGTTTAACTATAAAAAGAAAGAGGTTCACTTGCTGCTTCTCTTTTTATAAACTATCTGATTCGTTCTGGTTTTCTATTCAAGGAAATCTTGTTTTTAGTTACAGTGGTGTTATCCAAATGTGTAATTATGTGTCAAAGTAGATTAGTACTGCTCTCTAAATGACAGTTCTGGAAAACATTCTCATAATGTTTGTTCATTAGTCAACCTAAGTCTCACTATCAGTCTTCCAAGTGAGAAGACTTGGGCTGGGAAAATAATTTAGCCATGTGACCTTCTGAACCAGATAAGTATAAAAGAAGTTGCTAAAGAAATAAGCTCTAGATTCTTTTTTCTGTACTGATTTAAAGATGAATTAGATTTATTTAAATAATAAAATGGTAATAAAATGGAAGGGAAGCAATGACTGAGAAGAGACCTGAAAATGTATCTAGCCTTGAGAGTTGCAACAAATATTCCCAGCCAAAGAAGTCTGTTTAATGTGCTTTCATGCATGCAGATTTATCTGTTTAACTCAAACTGTTAAAAAGTATAATTCCATCATGGCCATTTTAAATATTTTTGGAAACAAATACATATACTTTTGCATATTAAAAAAAAAATTACCACTCCCCAATGTTTCTGTTGAATCAGACTTTTACATTATGTTGTTTAATAAAATATGGTAAAGTTTGACATGTATGATTTTATCATGTAAGTAGCATAATTCCTCAGCCAAAAATTTAGCATTTGAGTCTATAGTACAAAGCTGAGTTCTGTACATTGTGTTCTAAAGATAGACAAAAATATAGATATTTTCTTCTTTCAAAGTAAAAGCAAATGAGACCTCCCACCATCCTCCGAGGCATTAAATTGCTTTGACAAAGTCACACTTTTAATTTATCTGACGAATTTGATATATTTTTCTGGAAATTTATGTAATCCAGCAATATGCAATTGTATCTTCCCTTTTGGTGCCATGAAATGCTAGGTAATGCTACCTTAGGAGCTTTGGTCAATTATTTAATATTTTTTGGTTTCACTTCCATTATGAAGTAGATAACAGGCTAGAGTGGATAGCTATACTATATATCTTCCAGCTATAAAGTTTTGTGGTAATTGAATATAAATTAGGGGAATATCTCATCTTCCAGGATTCAGCACTAGCAACTCAGCAATTTCACTCTTCTCATTGTGTTGGGGCAAACTTTGGTTCCTCTATTTCAGTGAGCACCTTCACTTTTTTGATATTCTAGGATCCAAATAAAAAAATAAGGATAAAAGGCAGTGGGAAATAAAATAGTTTAGTGCAGAAAAGGGAAAGCTTCTTTTCTGTTTCTGAAGACCCAAAAGTTCACATCTTCTCAATCTGGCTATTTCATGTAGCATCCTGGTGATAAAGACAGAAGACACATTCTGTATCTGGGTCTTTTTGTTTCCCTGTTTTTGTGTTGATATATTTACACCACAGAAGTAACTGTGATCTGGTGGAGAACTAGAAATCGAGTCAAAAACCTTGGGGAAAATCCTGCAGTTTGCTTGTATTTTTTAGCCTCTCTTTTTAAGAATTGTGATAAGTAAATAAGTTCATCAATACATGCATGTAGAAGTGCTTAGTACAATGTCTAGATATATGATTTAGTAAATATAATTCTTATAACTAAAAAGGATTGAGTGAAATCACAATAGAATATTATTAAAAAACAGAACTTTAAACACATTGAGAAATTTTATCTGTCCAAATACATGTGGAGGTAAAGCTCTTACTATAGGGTGATGTCTGGGTTAGATATTACAGTATAAACGCAATTTTCTTTTTTCAATATTTTAATTTAGTCAAATGTGTTAATATTTTATTTTATGCTTTGAGTCTGTTGTAATTCAGAGAAAGGCTTTTCCATTTCTGATAGTCTTGAAAATTCTCAAGTGTGTGTGTAATTTTTTACTGCTATGGATTCTTTGACTTCAAATAAAGTTTTGAATTTTTTGAAACATGTGCTAAGGTTCAAGGTTTTGCTTCAAGTTTTTCTCCAGCTGGATATCCACTTATAGCAACTTTTAATTGCATGAATGTACAGGTTGTTCATTCACTTCAGAGATAATCATGATATGTTACTTTATTGAGGGCTAGCTAAAAATTTCTTTTGTTTTATTTAGGATTGTCAACGTTATGGAAAAAAGAAGGATGTGAAGTCTGAAAACTGCATGTTGAAGAAAGATATTGCCGTACTCAGACAAAAAGTATATGCAATAAAAAATGACAGTCTCCAAAAGGAAAAGGAATATATTCAGGAAATTATAAGTATTAAAGAAACAAATACTAACTTTCAAAACAGTGTAGGACTCAATGAGGAAATGATAACAAAAACAATGTCCGAGTATTGTCAACAGCTTAATGATCTCAAAGCTGAGAATACAAGGCTGAATTCAAAACTGGAGAAGGAAAAACACAGCAAGAAACGACTGGAAGCTGAAGTTGATTCCCTCTATTCTAGACTGGCTGTTGCTGTAAATGAGCACAAAGAAAGTATGCAAACAAAGGACGTAGAACTTACTTTACAAAGAACAAAAGATGTTTATTTACAAGAAATAACGAGTTCTAATATTTCTCAACTAAAAGATAAGAATGAGTTGCTTACTGTACTACTTTCTAAAGCTCGAATGAAGTTTAATACCTTAAAAGGTAAGCTCCACAAGACAAGAGATGCTCTCAGGGAAAAGACATTGGCTTTAGAGAGTGTAGAGATGGACCGAAGGCAAGCACGGCATCAAATAAAGGAAATGAAACAGATGCATCCAAATGAAGAAGCTAAAAAGAACCAATTCATGGTAAAGCAGAACTGTGAAGAGAGAATATGTCAACTAGAACGTGAAAATCTCTTGCTTGAACAACAACTAGAGGTTACTCATAAGGACGGCAATAATAAAGAGATAGTAATTAATATTGAAAGAGGCTGTCTTGAGAGTGGACAGGAAGATTTTCTTGAAGAGAAAAATAAGGAATTAATGAATGAATATAATTATTTAAAAGAAAAACTGTTTCAGTATGAAAAAGAAGCAGCAGAAGAAGTAAGTATGAAGAAAGATAAATATTTTTAGTCTTCTGGAAAAAAATTTAAACATTTCATTCTGGCTATATGTTGAACCTAGCTCAATATAAAAATGAATAGATAAAAATGTGTTTACCATACTGTATAATTCTATTTACATGAAACATCTAGAAAATACATGTATAGGGACAGAAAGTAGATTAATGTTTTTGTAGGGCTGGAGCTGGAAATGGGTAGTGACTGCTAATGGGCATGAGGGATTGTCCTGGAGTGATGAAAATGTTCAAAAGTTGGATTGTAGAGATGGTTATACAAGTCAGTGAATTTGTTCAAGTACGTATGTTAGAGTTAAACATGTATGTTAGAGTTAAACATGTAATAATATTTAAATATTACTAACTCTACTTAGAGTTAAATATTACTCCATGTTGTGGAATAAATGTGTTAAAAATCTTCAACTATATGTGAAAACATAAATTTTATAGTATATAAATCATGCATATACAGAGCTGTTTCAGTAGAAAAAACAAAAACCAATGTTTTTATTGTATCAGCTTGGAAACATACCTTATTTTCAAGAAATAAAAGGTAGCTTTACTTTGACTAAAGACATTATGTTGGCCTGGTGCAGTGTCTCATGCCTATAATCCCAGCACTTTTGGTGGCCGAGGCAGGTGGCGGACACTTATAGTTCCAGCTACTTGGGAGGCTGAGGCAGGAGAATCGCTTGACTCTAGGAGGCAGAGGTTGCAGTGAGCCAAGATCATGCCACTGCACCTCAGCCTGGTGACAAAGTGAGATTTTGTTAAAAAATCAAAAAACAAACAAACAAAAAAATTATGTTACCTATAAAATTTTGTAGATACAGAGTAATGTTGATAAAATATGTAGTCTTAACTGCTGATAACAAATTTAATGTCTTTATGTTGGCACATTTTAAGACCATAATGAAGCAAATAAATGGAAATGCTTGTACCTCAAATGAATATTTTGAAATTAAGATTCAATTAAGTGAGTTGCTTTGTCACTTAATTCTAAATTTCCCAGATGAATTGAAGTGTGTTGCTGTGTCTTGTGATGCTTTTCCTTCAGTAACTCTTTTATGTATTTTAGTTGGTATAACTTTGTTTTGATTCATATCAATGTGACTTAAGTCTGAAAATATGTCAGTCTCATATTATGTAATTTTCTGACCACTTAATATTTTAAAGACATCTACTTGTTATAAAATCACAAGTTGGAATAAATGTGGTAAATTTCAGCAAAACATATTTGATTTAATGTTCTCCTGGTAGGTATTTATAATTTACTTTGAATATTTTTATTAATAATTAGCTCATAATTTACATTTTAAGTCTCAGTGACTATCATTTGTATATAACTTTATTCAGCACAAAGATACTTGTAGCTTTCTGTGATTTACAAGTTTGGCATTGGATCCTCATTTTTAGATTGATGAGAGGTGGCAGAGTTGATGCAGAGTGGGAACGAAATGAGTATGGGACAGAATTGTAGGAGCTGAGGTCAGGAAGGGATGTAGAGGCCATGTGACCTAGGGTCTTGAAGACCATTGGAATTTTACTGTTATTTTGAGATAGGCATCTGTTGGAAGGATTTGAACAGGCAACTGAATATATGAGAAACTGAGTCTGAATTGAGGGCCTAAGATGAATAGTGGGCTGAATCAATCTGTCATGTAAGTAGGAGAATACCGATTTGGCAGGAAAATAACATCTTCTGTATCCCTCACTGAATTCAGTAATAAACAAGAATGTGCACATATGAGGAAAAGGAAGTGAGTCTATGTGTCTGGTAACAATTTTCAAAGTATTTATGTTAGAGGTAAATATTGTTAACAATTTAATACTAAGGCTATTTATAAAATTAGTAACAAAATTATTTTATCAGGTGATTACGAGACAACTTTCAGAAGAACTGGCTGATAACCTTAAAAAATTATCTGTGTCAGAGTCTCCACTAGAAGGTACATCACATTGTCACATTAATTTGGATAAGACATGTGCTTCAAAGAAGAAATTATTTCAAGTATGTATGGAATTTAACATGTCAACAGTTAATCTGTAGCTGGTTGAATAATATAAAGTGTTTTAGGAAACTAATCTCAGTGGAGAGCTTGATTTTGTATTTTTATTATAATTAATTATTACCATTTTATTATCTTTATTTTTATTTTTTATTTTTTGAGACGGAGTTTCACTCTTGTTACCCAGGCTGGAGTGCAATGGCGCAGTCTCGGCTCACTGCAACCTCCGCCTCCCAGGTTCAGGCAATTCTCCTGCCTCAGCCTCCTGAGTAGCTGGGACTACAGGCACGCACCACCATGCCCAGCTAATTTTTTTGTATTTTTAGTAGAGACGGGGTTTCACCATGTTGACCAGGATGGTCTCGATCTCTTCACCTCGTGATCCACCCGCCTCGGCCTCCCAAAGTGCTGGGATTACAGGCGTGAGACACCGCGCCCGGCCTATTATCTTTATAATGTACTTATTTCTTAAACTCAGGATTTTATCCTGCCATTTTGAAAAATAATCGCATACCTTTTCTCTTGCAATATTTACCCTTGGAAAAGTTGAGATCCATACATTATTCCTCACAGAAAATTCACTTTTTTTCTGTTAAAGAGTATTTTTAGAAAATTTCTTTATTGCCTTGGTGAGGCAAGCCAGATTAAGTCAGAGGAGAATGTTTAATGGAATGTTTCAGAAAGTTGTCTTATTTCTTCACTTTTACGAATGGCCACAGAAGCTGTGCCTATTTATTTCATGGATTCTAGGTTAACTTGTACAGAAAAGCCATCATACTATTTTTTGAAGTGCACGCTTTACAGTAATTTACAAACTACTTGAAAAGTTAGGCAACAGGCATTGCCTTCACTTTCATTTAAAATACACATTCATTTGGAGTATGTACAACCAAAACAGAGAGTTAAAAAAATTATCTTGGCCGGGCGCGGTGGCTCACGCCTGTAATCCCAGCACTTTGGGAGGCCGAGGCGGGTGGATCACGAGGTCAAGAGATCGAGAACATCCTGGTCAACATGGTGAAACCCTGTCTCTACTAAAAATACAAAAAAAATTAGCTGGGCATGGTGGCGCATGCCTGTAATCCCAGCTACTCAGGAGGCTGAGGCAGGAGAATTGCCTGAACCCAGGAGGCGGAGGTTGCGGTGAGCCGAGATTGTGCCATTGCACTCCAGCCTGGGTAACAAGAGCAAAACTCCGTCTCAAAAAAAAAAAAAAAATTATCTTGATTCTACCATTGGATTTTTATAAACAGTTTCACTGAGCAGTAATTCACATGTCAGACAGCTCAACCATTTAAAATGTACAACTCAGTGTCTGTTAGTATATTTACAGCATTGTGTAACCATCAACACAATCAATGCTAGGACATTTTTACCACTCTGAAAAACAACTGTATATCTCATAGCCATGGCTGCAACTCCTCTCCATGTCTCTCTACCTGCCCCAGTTGTGGGCAACCACCATCTACTTTTGTCTCCATAGATTTGCATGTTCTGCATATTTTATATACAAAGAATCATACAATATGAAGTCCTTTCTGACTGGCTTTTTTCCTTAGCATAATGTTTTCAGAATTTTATCCATGTCGTAGCACATATCCGTAGTTTATTTCTTCTTACTGTCAAATAATCGTCTATTTCGTGGCTATACAAGTTTTCCATTCATTCATCAGATAATGGACCTTTAGTTTGTTTTCACTTTTTGGCTATTATAGAAACAGCTGCTGTGGACATTCATTTATAGGTTATTGTATGGACATATGTTTTTATTTCCCTGCCATTGGACTTGATTCTCAGAGTTAATTGGGTAGACCTCAGCACCAATTTGACTCATACTGTCCTTCCTGCCTTCTCAGTTTCTGTTCCTCTAGTCTCATTCATTTGGACCTGGCAGACCATGTCCTCTTTGTGAAGCTTTCTCTGACTGTTCTCTCATTGTCCTTACATCTCAGCACTTGTCGTCCAGTCTACAGAACAACTTAGGCCCTAATTTTACATGGCTTTTATTTTTTATGGAATATAATTTTGTCTCATTATAAATTTGCTTGAAGGGAAAAGAATATGACATGCATGTCACCTATTCTTGTATACATTGAAAATGTTTCAGCTTGGCAGCTTTTAGCATAGAACCAAATACTTTTTACCATACCAATTATTTCTTCTTTGAGACATTGACCAGTAAATCTTTTATTCTAAGTGTATTTTTAGCAATATAAAATTGAAAACAATTGGCCTAATAGAGGAGAATTGTTCAATCAAATGCTCATGTTTTTCTCAGTATGAAAAAAGAATCGAAATTTGCCTTCCTTCACTATGTAGCCAGAACTGTATTTCTGGATGGCTGCCAGTTTCTCAGCTGAACAGTTCTGGCAGTCTGTCTGATGAATGATACCACAGCCTCGTAATCTGAGTGCTCAGCAGAGTGCTCATGAAAGCAGCACAACAGCAACAGCTGCTGGAAGGGAATTGATTTAGGAGACTTGATTTAGCAATAGAGTTCAAGGTTTTCAGCCCAGTGGCTTCAGCCTGTCTTTGCTGGTCATGTTGATTATGTACTACTCAATCCAGGAGGTGCCATTTACATTGTAGTATATATGTGGTTGTTGCCCACTGAGTCATACTGAGAGAAAAGTGACCTATAAATTATACACTCCCCATTTACTGCCACTTTCAGTTGTGTGAAGAATGATTCAGTGCAGCTACAGGAGACCACTTCCATTTTAATGCCACCTGCCTAACACATATAGTTTTAAAGATATAAAAACAGTAAAAATTATTATGCTAATAGCAAATATTATCTGTAGCTCACTATGTACCGTGTACTCTTCTAAATGCTTCATGTTGGTCCCTGGTTTAATCTTCCCAACATCACAGCGAAGTAGATGGAATTATTTTCTCCATTTCAGGGTCACACAGCTAGTATTTGGTAGAACTGGGATTTAGACACAGGCCTTCTGGCTTCAGTGTAGATACTGCCTTTCAAACCAGTCCATGAAACACGTGATTGGGTGGCTCATGTCAGTAACCCTAGCACTTTGGGATTCTGAAGCAGCAGCAGTGTTTGAGCCCAGGAATTTGAGACCAGCCAGAACAATATAAGTGAGACCCTGTCTCTACAAAAAAAAAAAAAAAAAAAAAAAAAAAAACATTAACAGTTAGCTGAGGCATGGTGGTGTATGCCTGTAGTCCCAGCTACATTGGGAGCCTGTGGTAGGAGGGTCACTTGAGCTCAGGATATCGAGGCTGCAGTGAGCAGTGATCAAGCCACTGCACTCCAGCCTGGGTAACAGAGTGAGACTCTGTGTCATAAATAGAATGTTTTGTATACAGATTCCCATAGAATCAAGTTAGACATCAGGCATAGAATTATTAGCCACTTTGATGTCTGTCTTGGAAATAAAACATGTAATAAGGGAAAGCTTTAAACCATATCAATCAATAGCCTCTAACTTCTCCAGAAGGTTCTTATTTCATGAATTTTTAAGCAAGAGACTACCTAGATTAAGACATTTGGTGGACACCATTTTGAGATTAAAAAATCTCAATTGGGAAGAAGGAAGACCGCTACTTGACTGGAGCTTTTCAATAATATAGTTGAGTGTCCCCCTGAAAGAAACCATAGAAGATATTCATCATGCTATATCTTTATGGAAAAGGGAATTCTTCAAAAGAAAACAAGGGCAAATAATTGATAATCTAATTCTCATGAAAAAGTTTTTAGTATAAAAGAAAAAAAGGGCTGGGCACAGTGGCTCGTGCCTGTAATCCCAACACTTTGGGAGGCTGAGGTGGGTGAATTACCTCCTGAGGTTAGGAGTTCAAGAACAGTCTGGCCAACATGGTGAAACCCTGTCTCTACTAAAATACAAAAATTAGCTAGGCGTGGTGGTGTGCACCTGTAGTCCCAGCTACTTGGGAGGCTGAGGCAGGAGAATCACTTGAACCCAGGAGGTGGAAGTTGCAGTGAGCCAAGATGATGCTACTGCACTCTAGCCTAGATGACTGAGTGTGACTCCATCTCAAAAATAAAGAAAAAAAGAAAGAAGAAAAGAACAAAGTATACTAGTCCAAAAAAGAATGAAAATGCACAAAGTATACTGGTCAATATCCTAAGAGTGAGACTGTCCCTCTTCGAGATTAAAAAAAAAACCAAACACTATATTCAAAATAACACCGATAAGAATCAACATAAAATAGACAAGATTGAGTATCTACAAAAGTAATCTGCACCAACTAGCAATGTAAGAGTGTGTGGTTGAGAATATTGTCTATAATATGTGTACTGGAAGGAAGAGACCTCTATAAAAAGGTCAGAGCTAGAAATGTAGATTAGGGATCTGGGTCAAAGTTTTGAGATTTTAGGAGTCCCAAGAGAATTTTAAAATGGAATACAAAGGAATAGCACTAAACATCAGAAGTTGCTGCATTTAGAAATGAAGTTGGGTCAGAGGAGCAGAGGGTGCATTTGGTCACTGCTCAAAGTTGCTGCTGAGTAAAGCAGGATAAAGACTTTCATGACCCTGGGACTTCTTTATTGGAATTATTACAAATCAGATTTCAGTATAAAAAACCACAATAAGTGATGAAAAATAGATCTCTGGATGAGACCATGTGTCAAAGAGTCCAGTGGAAGGGGAGAAACAGGATAATAGAAAACCACAAAAAGTAGACAAAAGTTACGTTTTTGTTTATTATAGAAAAAAATAAACTTTATTTAAATAGAAATGGTTAACAGAAGGAAAAACTGAAACCCGCAGGTGAATACTTACAGAGAATGAGAGTATTTAGCTCAGCCTGAAGACAGATGAGGATCAAAAATATAATGGGAAGTAGATAAGAGATTTCTATAAATAACAAAACTGAAATATCTTCAACTATTAATGACAATGTTACTAGAGCATCTTTAACAACTAAAATGTAAATATAGTTACTTTTAATTTTTTTTTTACTAACCCTTAGTATTTTATGTGTAAAACCTTCATTTTTAACAAACATTTTTGGCACTTTAAATTTCAGAAAAGATCATGATGAAAGTATTAATTGTTTTTAGCTGTTTTAAGAAGAGTGACTACTATTGAAATCTGTTCTTATTTACATCAGGTTTATAAAATGCACTTTATACACCTGCCTAAATACATATGACTCATCAACTTATGATAAATAGTATTTTTGAGATAGAAGAGTGTCTCTAGAGTTTATGAAAATAATTTTAAACACCTTTTTTTTCAAGGCTGAAGGACTAAATGAAGAATTAAGAAAACTTTTTGAGTTAGTATCATCACTGGAGGATAATGTGAATCAAATAAGAAAGAAAAATAATGAATTAGAAGAAGAGACAACTGGGTATGCTTTTCCTATTGTAGAACATTTTAACCATTTATTAATTGATTTAACTAAAATTTTGCTTGACTAAAACATAGATACAAATTCATTTTATGTCTGTATTTTCATAATTAAACAAATTCTATTTTAAAATTTATTTTAGAAACTCACACCATTATAGGTATGTGCGTCATGGGGGAGGGAGCCAGCTGAGCTGCTGGAGCAAGGTTGGGATGAAAAACATTATATTGGCCGGGCACGGTGGCTCAAGCCTGTAATCCCAGCACTTTGGGAGGCCGAGGCGGGTGGATCACGAGGTCAAGAGATCGAGACCATCCTGGTCAACACGGTGAAACCCCGTCTCTACTAAAAATACAAAACATTAGCTGGGCATGGTGGTGCGTGCCTGTAATCCCAATTACTCAGGAAGCTGAGGCAGGAGAATTGCCTGAACCCAGGAGGCGGAGGTTGTGGTGAGCCGAGATCGCGCCATTGCACTCCAGCCTGGGTAACGAGCAAAACTCTGTCCCCCACCCAAAAAAAAAAGAAAAACATTATATTAAAAATATGTGAAAAAAAGAAACTGACAACACAATCTTAAATTTTTTTAATGTCAAAATATTACACTTATTCTTTAATGATTTGGAAACAATAATGACAAAGACTTGGACACATAATGTCAACTGCACTCTTCATTATCTAGTACAAATTTTTATTTCTGAAGATATTTTTGCTGTCTTTGGTCATCTTTTCTTCCTTTTGTAGTATCCTTCTCTGCTACATTCATATTCTTTAAAGAAGACCTATTTGTGGCATTCTTTTCTTTCTTTTTTTTCTACTTTAGGTTCTGGGGTACATGTGCAAGTCATGCATGATTGTTGCATAGGTACATACATGGCAAGGTGGTTGCTGCCTCCATCCGCCCATCACCTATATCTGGCATTTCTCCCCATGTTATCCCTCCCCAACCTCCCCGTTCCCCACTGTCCATCCCCTAACCCCCACAAACAGACCCCAGTATGTGATGCTCCCCTTTCTGTGTCCATGTGTTTGTGGAATTCTTTAACATCAAAATTTATCTTGATATGTAGCTCATAATTTATTTCTGCTTTTTTTCTTTTAAATATAAAATATATTATAGAAATTTACTCATTTTACGAGTACCTCCATTGTATATGTGAAGCATACATGTTATTGAACTTCTGTTTTACAGAAATAAATTATATGTACATAAATATATCTATAACTTAAAGAAAAAGAGTAAAATGACCATTCATGTTTTGATCATAGATTAAAAAAACAAAACAGAATGTGTCTTTCAAGTCCTCAACACAGCTACTTTTCCATTTATTTACTGAGCACCTATGTTGGCTTTCTGATTCTAATCAACATTTTTCTGTCATTGTCTTTCTCTACATGGTTTTGTATCTCTTTCATTTTATTAACATCGTGTCAGCAAAGATTTCTAGTTCTCTTCTTCAAAGTCTTTAAATCATCTTTTTTCTAAAACTGCCTGTTTTTTTTTTCTCATCAACTCAGACATTAAAGATGTTTTCTTTTTTTTTTGTTTGTTTTTTTGCTTGGGTAATCCCTTTTAATCGTGAACTTCAGGTCACAACAGTAACTATTAGTTCAACTACACCAAGGTTTCTGAAGACAATGGCTTCTCCACCCAAGCAGGTTGTATATAAATTCCAAATAGAAGCTGGCATCACCCTGAAGGAATTCTAACTTCACACTGTTGGGGAAATTTACCAAGATGGCTTCAGAGTAGACCAACTTTACACAGCACATTAAAAAAAAAGACATTTATTCAGCGTCACGATCAGACTATTACATTTAGCAATCAACAGCATGGGTGCAAAAAAAAAAAAAAGAAAAAAAACTACATTAAAACCCTTTGTTGGAATGCTTTACACTTTCCACAGAACAGAAACTAAAATAACCTGTTATACAATTAGTCACAAATACAGTCCTCCAGTTTTTTGCCCATACACATGAGTATTTGTCTAAATCATGTCTTCTTTGTAGCAGCTAGGCCCTGCCACCACTGTGCTTGGCTGAGTTCACAAATCTGTGGTAACCTGTAGCTTCCCTGTCACTTCTCTGGCTCTCCTCTCCTGCTAAGCTTTGTTTCCTAATTAAAATCTTCTGCCACTGCCATAGCTACTGCTGCTACTGGAACCACCATAGCCACCTTGGTTTCGTGGTTTGGCAAAGTATTGGCTGCCACCACCATAGGGGCCAGAGCTTCTGCCTCCAAAGTTTCCTCCCTTCATGGGTCCAAAATTTGAAGACTGATTGTTGTAACTGCCAAAATCATTGTAGCTTCCACCACCTCCAAAATTGCCTCCATCATTACCAAATCCATTATAGCCATCCCCACTGCCACCATATCCACCACCACCATGGCTGCCACCAAAGCCACCACGACCACTGAAGTTTCCTCCATGACCAAAGTTGTCATGCCCACCGAAACCACCTCCACGACCACCACCAAAGTTTCCAGAACCACTTCGACCTCTTTGGCTGGATGAAGCCCTAGCCATCTCTTGCTTTGACAGGGCTTTCCTAACTTCACCGTTGTGGCCATTTCTGTATGGTATTTCTGAATGACAATCTTATCCACAGAGTCATGGTCATCAAAGGTTACAAAGGCAAAGCCCCTTTTCTTGCCACTGCCTCTGTCAGTCATGATTTCAATCACTTCAATTTTTCCATACTGTTCAAAATAATCTCGTAGGTGATGTTCTTCAGTGTCTTCTTTAACGCCACCAATGAATATTTTCTTATTTCTCTTTTCCTACATTGGATGATCTTCCTGATGCTTTTTGTGTGTACTTTTTTTTCTTATAGACTGTGGTCAACAGGTATCAAAATGTATTTTTTGGTCTTTTTCAAACATATGTGTGTTTTACTTTTTTATATTGGTTCCTCATCTCTGGGGTATGGCTTATATTTAGTAATGGGTTATTTCATGTTAACATACAAAAATTAATATGAATAGTTTATAAAAACTGTATGGTTAGGCCAGGCATGATGGCTCATGCCTGTAATCCCAGCACTTTGGGAGGCCAAGGCAGATGGATCATTTGAGGTCAGGAGTTAAAGACCAGTCTGACCAACATCATGAAACCCCATCTCTACTTAAAATTAAAAATTAGCTGGGCGTAGTGGTGGATGCCTGTAATCCCAGCTACTTGGGAGGCTGAGGCAGGAGAATCACTTGAACCCAGGAAGCACAGGTTGCAGTGAACCAAGATCGCACCATTGCACTACAGCCTGGCAACAAGAGTGAAATTCCATCTCAAATAAAATAAAATCAAATAAAAACAACTACATGGTTATAATATCACTTTGCCTGCCATATACGCCATAAAATTGTTCTTCATATTATTAATCTAAGATTATAATTTCATATAGAATGCTTTCAGACTACGCTCAGTTGAAACTGAGAGGAGCATAGTTTACAGATGCGTTTCTCTGATATGCCATAATACCTGTTTAAACAATTATTACATATTTACTCTTACAATACTTGACTTGCTAATTCTGTACATTTCTGCAGATATAAGAAACTCCTAGAGATGACAATAAATATGTTAAATATATTTGGAAACGAAGAGTTAAGTTTCCATGGAGACTTAAAAACAGATCAACTGAAAATGGATATTCTGATGAATAAGCTAAAACATAAGGTAATTTTTAAAAAAACACTTATTTTATCTTAAGGTCTAAATTACATGTGCAAGATGTGTAAGTTTGTTACATAGGTAAATGTGTGCCACGATGGTTTGCTGCACCTATCAATCCATCACCTAGATATAAAGCCCCACATGCATTAGCTATTGATCTCGATGCTCTCCCTCCCAACCCCATCAGGCCCTCGCATTTTTTCTTCCCCTCCCCGAGTCCATGTGTTCTCATCATTCAGCTCCCACTTATAAGTGAGAACATGCAGAGTTTATTTTTTTTGTTCCTGAATTAGTTGCTAAGGATGGCAGCTTTGATTTCATCCATGTCCCTGCAAAGAGCATGATCTTATTCATTTTGATGGCTCCATAGTATTCCATGGTGTATAGATACCACATTTTCTTTCTTTTTTTTTTTTTTTTTTTTTGAGACGGAGTTTCGCCCTTGTTACCCGGGCTGGAGTGCAATGGCCCAATCGCAGCTCACCGCAACCTCCGCCTCCTGGGTTCGGGCAATTCTCCTGCCTCAGCCTCCTGAGTAGCTAGGATTACAGGCACGCACCACCATGCCCAGCTAATTTTTTGTAGTTTTAGTAGAGACGGAGTTTCACCATGTTGACCAGGATGGTCTCGATCTCTTGACTTCGTGATCCACCCGCCTCGGCCTCCCAAAGTGCTGGGATTACAGGCGTGAGCCACTGCGCCCGGCCATACCACATTTTCTTTATCGCATCTATCGTTGATGGACATCTGGGTTGATTCCATGTCTTCGCTATTATGAATAGTGCTGCAATGAAAATAAACATGCATGTGTCTTTATAATAAAATAATTTAGATTTCAACATAAGGTAATTTTAAATCAGTTTTGGGATTAAAAATCACATAATTTGGGGAAATATTAATCATTTCAAAAATCCAAATTCTGCCAAAATATGTTTAAGGAGGTTTATTCTAAGCCAATATGGTGACTGTGGCCCTAGGTTACACAATCTCAAGAGATCCTGAGAATATTTTGTGAGACAGTCACATTACAGTTTGACTCTGTACATTTCCAGCAGACAGAAATTAACTGTAGGGAAAAATCATAAACCAATATGAAGAAGGCAGATATTGGTTCAGCCTGAAAGTGGGACATCAAAAAGAAGGGGCTAACAAGTCCTAGGTGGGTTTTAGAGATTCTTCAAGTGACAGTTGGTAAAGAAAGTTAAGTTGTTGTCTAAAACAGTAAAAAGGAATGCCTTAATTAAGATAAGGTGGTTGGCCGGGCGTGGTGGCTCAAGCCTGTAATCCCAGCACTTTGGGAGGCCGAGGCGGGTGGATCACGAGGTCAAGAGATCGAGACCATCCTGGTCAACATGGTGACACCCCGTCTCTACTAAAAAATACAAAAAATCAGCTGGGCATGGTGGCACGCACCTGTAATCCCAGCTACTCAGGAGGCTGAGGCAGGAGAATTGCCCGAACCCAGGAGGCGGAGGTTGCGGTGAGCTGCGATTGGGCCATTGCACTCCAGCCTGGGTAACAAGAGCGAAACTCCATCTCAAAAAAAAAAAAAAGATAAGGTGGTTATGGAGGCCAAGGTTTTTATTATGTAGATAAACCCTCATAGCTGGCAGTCTTCAGAGAAAATAGAGGGTAAATATATCTTTTTAGACTTTAAATGCATTAGGCTCTTAGTTAATCTTCCCTAGACCTGGGAAGACCTAGAAGGGGAGAGACTGGGCTACTACATTAACGAAGACTTTTTACAGATGCAATTTTCCCCACAGAAGACAGCTTTATGGGGCCATTTCAATTTCTTGTTCCTGGCCCTGTGGCAGCCATTTCAAAATATGTCAAAGAAATCTATTTGGGGGTAAAAGATTTTGGGGGTAAAATATTTTTATTTCCTTCAGCTTCTGCTGTCTGTGATGCTGTACCAGAATCAGGTTAGAAAGTAAACCACATTATAAGAGTTAATAAAACCCATCTGATGAGATTTTACAGTTTGAAGGGTATGATTCCCCGGACCCTTTAGATAGAAATTGGGGCAAAAGAAAACAAGGTCTTATTCCTTGTTATAAATCTCTCAGTGCTTTAAGCAGTAAAAGAAAGATTTTTTTGAATTTTCATTTAATTTTACAGACTTGATACTAATGAAAAGGATAGTTTTTAAGATACATATATTTTTTTTCTATTAAGAGGACATGCTGTCTATTTTATGTCTTGAGCCTTGACCAGTGATCCAAAACCAAGCAGTACATGTCTCCAGATCACTAGTACCAAATAAATTTGAGGGTGGGTAACAGGTTTATTGAGAAATAATTAACACACCAGGCAATCCACTTATTTGAAATATACAATTTGTTGACTTTTAGTATGTTCAGAGTTATGCAATAATAATTACAATTCATTTTAGAACCTAAATCAAAAGTAAATCTTTTCATCACCTGAAAAGTAAACCCCACATCACTTAGCCATCTTCACTAGTTTCCCCTTCCTCCCTCAGCCCTAGGGATCCACCCACCTTCTTTGTATAGATTTGCCTATAAGCCTCTGAAATAAAAATCAATTAGTCTACTGTGACTGATTTATTTTATTTAGCAAAAGTTTCCATGCTGCATCTATGCTGTAACAAGATATTTATGCAGGGTTTTTGTTCCTTGGTTCAGCTAAATCTGGGTTCTTGTCTCACGACCAGGAAAAATTAGGCATGCAGACACATTGAAGCATGAGGAGGACAAAATTTATTAAGTGAAAGGAAAGCTCTCAGCCAAGAAAGGGGTCCTGCAAACAGATTTTCACCTCACAATTGAATATCAGAACCACCACACATGAGCTGAAGAGGCCAGGCTCCCCTGCATAAGGTGTGAATTCCTGGTGGCTCCACCTCATTTCCCCAGTGCATGTGGGCCTCCAGTCTGCTGCTGGCATGTCCAGGCAAGACCCTGTGCAGGTTCTGTTTTCTGCATGAAACCTCTGGTGTAAACACTTGAGGGGCTGGTTGGAGGTTCTCCAGAGACCCTTCAATATCTGCCTAGGCATTTTGCTGTCTCCTGCTTCTATCAGTATCTGTACTTAATTTCTTCTTCTTGCTGAATAATATTCCATTGTATGGAGACATCAAACATTTTATTTGTCCATTCATCTGGTGAATGGACTTTTGGGTTCTTTCCCACCCAAAGGTGAATGACCTTTGGGTTCTTTTCCACTCAAAGGTGATGGACCTTTGGATTCTTTCCACTTTTTGACTCTTATTAATAATGCTGCTGTAAACATTTATGTACGAGTTTTTGTGCTTGCATATGTTTTTATTTTTCTTGAGTGTATACTTGTGACTGGAATTTCTGGATCATATGGTAACTTCATGCATCACCTTTTGAGGAGCTGCCAATTTGTTTTTCAAAGTACATCTACCACTTTACATTCCCAGCAGCATTGTATAAAAGTTTTAATTTCTTTACATTTTTGCTGACACACATTTTCTCTTTTTTTATTCAACAAAGATTTCATCCTATGGCGTGCAGTGATACCACATGGTGGTTTTGATTTACATTTTCCTAATGACTAATTACATTAAGCATCTAGTAATGTGCTTACAATCCATCTTTATATCTTCTTTGCAGAAATATCTATTCAAAATCTTTGTCCATTTTTAAAATTGGGTTATCTTTTCTTTATATATCCTATATATGTAAGTCCCTTATCAGATATACGATTTTCAAATATTTTCTTCTACTCAGTGGCTTGCCTTCTCACTTGTTGATGGTGTCTTCTGAGGCACAACAGTTTTCAATTTTGAAGTCCATTGAATCCATTTTTTCTTTGAAGTCATAGCTAAGAAAACACTGCCAAATGTAGTCACAAAGATTTATGTCAATGTTTTATTCTGAGAGTTTTATAGTTTTAGCTGTTACAGTTAACTGATTTATTTTGAGTTAATTTTTAAACATGATATTTGGTGAGAGTCCAACTTCATTTATTTTTTGCATATGAGTACTCAGTTGTCCCAGCACCATTTACCAAAAAGACTATTTTTTTCCCATTTTGTTCTTTTGTTAACCTTGTATAAAATCAATTGACTGTAAATGTGCAGGTTTATTTTTAGATTATCAATTTTTTGTTTGTTTATGTGTATTCTTATGCCAGGACTAAATCAAATTTAATGAGAAGTTTTTTCAGTCAGGTTGCATATTACCAAGCTGTCTTATGTCAGAATAAAAATAAAATGTAGTGGGATATCTTTAAGTTCACCTTTTGTGTCTCAAAGGATTCTGTAGCCAGCTTATACCTTACTTACTCTAAGACATTATGGGAAGTCAGGCTTACAAGACAGAGTTTATTTCTTTTTTTCTCCATTCAAACATTAGTCTCTTATCTAGTGCCTCCCTCTTTAGTTTCATTTTCAGTAAATTTTGGTCACAGGATCTGCTGACATAGTCTACCATTTAGTGCATTATGCTTTACTAACTCATTATAATTCATAGAATTATCCATAGATGTTTACTATTCAGGAATGAGAAGTTTAAGTCAGAGCTGTCAGCTTTCCTCTGTGGAAATCAAGTGAAGTCATCATCTTTCAGTTCGCAGATCCTCTTTCCACCTGGTAGCTGGTTCTCTGGTGTAGCACTGTGGCTAATTCTTTTCTTGGTGCAGATCCTGCATTCTCAGAAACCACAGTTCCCTGTATTGACCTCCTTTTACTGAAACAGAGATGCACAGCTCTGCTTTCTAGCTCAGCAGAGAATTCTTAGAATAAAAAAAATTAACTCATTTCAAGGAAAAATTTTAGGAGTGCAGCACTTAATAATCAGGTGATGCTTAGGCAATTTATCAGAGACAAATAGTAGATGAGTATTTTGAATTTCAAATTTTCTGAGCCAAAGTGTGTGCTATAGAGAAGCACTGTGGTATAACATAGTGATGGGATGGTCTTAACTTTTCCGTACAAACAAGCTTGAAGTAAGGTAAAAGAGAAATTACATTGGATTTCTTAACACTCAAAGCACACTATGTTTATTTTACTTCTGTGAAGATTAAAAATAATTCCATTAAATACTAGATTGATTAATAAATACTTAAACCTTCTTCATTTAGAATTTTATTTAATAGAGATCAGGTAAATGTCTTATTTTGGTGATGTAACTAAATATTTCTAGTTGTTTTTTAAATTGTATGTCTTCTTGCTCCCTAGTTTATTTCCTAACTTGAGGGAAAATTCTAAAGAGACACCCTTGTCTTGTTATTAGAGTTTATAATTGAAGGGGGTTTCAGGAAAAGTTCCTCCTCACCACCTTATGTCTCTCTCCTGGTTATCTGCTGCTTCTCAATAATGATTGTCATCAATAAATCAATCTCAACATTTAGTAGATCCTACTTAAAGGACACTCTTTTCTGCTGCATAAGTTATGTTTTCTGTTGTCTCTTTTTAAAACTTATTTTTCTATCAATTACCCAGAGTTCTGTGGCTTAAAAGAAAAAAAAATTAATTTGGCTCATGAATCTGAGGTTTGGAAAAAGCTTGGCCAGGAAAGCTTGTCTCTGCTCCCCTCAGCTTCCCTAGGAACAGCTGATCAGCTGGGGAAATGGAATCCTCTGAAGCTTTGCTCACCCACATGGTTGATGCTGGCCATTGGCTGCAACAATGGTTGATGCTGGCCATTAACTGGAACCTCGGTTGGGGCAGGCAGCACGGACACTGGCACTCCCATGCTCTCTTTGTGGCCTGAGTTTTCTCACAATCTGGGGGTTCAGTTCAAAGGAAAAGTAGTCTGAGATAGAGAAGCCACATGGTATCCCTTTTACAGCATTGTATTCATGAGAAGGAAGTCAGTAAGGTTGGCCAATATTCTATTTTTTAAAGGGATGAATATAGCTTCTCTTTTGTTCTTAATTGACATGTATATACATAATTGTGGGCTATAGAGTGATATTTTGATACATATATATAGTGTTTAATGATCAAGCTAACTAGCATATTTACTACTTTAACCATTTTTTATTTCTTTGAGTTGTGAACATTCAAAATCTTCTAGCTTTTCTAAAAAAAATTTCAATAAATCATAGTTAACCACATTTACCCTACAATGCCACAGAACACCAGATATCATTTCTCTTAACTAACTATAATTCTGTATTCATTAACCAGCCTCCCCTTTCCTACTTCCATGAGGTTTTTTGTTGCTGTTAAGAGACAGGGTCTTGCTAGTGTAGTCTGGGCTCTGGGCAACTATAATCACCCAGACTAGAGACAGTGATTTGATCTTACCTTACTGCAGTCTCAAACTCTTGGGCTCATGTGATCCTCCCACCTCAGCCTCTGAGTGGTTAGGATTATGGGAGTCACCGTTGCACCTGTCTGATTGTTTACTTTGTAGAGGTGTCTCTCTATGTTGCTCAGGCTGGTCTGGAACATTAGCCTCAAGTGGTTATCCTGCCTTGGTCTTTCAAAGTGCCAGGAAATTACAGGCATCAGCCATGTTGCCCAGCCCTCAATGTTTCTTTAGCTCCCACACATGAGTGAGAATGTGCAGTATTTATCCTTCTGTGTCTGCACTTAACATAACATCCTCCAGACCGATCCACGTGGCCACAAATAACAGAATTTCATTTCTTTTTATGGTGAAGAATATTCCATTGTGTAGTTGTACCACAATTTTTTCTTCGTTCATTTGTTGATAGACATGGAGGTGGATTCCATACATTAGCTGTTGTGAACAGTGAGACAATAAACATAGGAGTACAGATACCCTTTTGATCTGTTGTCTTCTATGGGCTGAATACCCAGCAGTGGGGTTGCTGGATCCCTCAGCAGTTCCATTACTAGTTTTGTGAGAAAACCTCATGTTGTTTTCTATAGTGGCTGCACTAATTTACCTTCCCACCAACAGCATATAAGCGTTTACTGTTCTCTGAAACCTCACCGGCATTTGTTATTTTTTTGTCCTTTCAATTATAGCCATTTATTTGAACGGGAGCAAGATTATAACACATTGCAGGTTTGATTTTTAATTACCGATTAGTGATACTGAGCATTTTTAAAGGTATTTATTGGCCGTTTGTATTTCTTTCTTTCTTTCTTTTTTTTTTTTTTTTAAGAAATGGCTAATCAGCTCTTTTGCCCAGATTTAAATGCAAATTATTTTTTTACTGTCAATGTGTTTGAGTTCCTTGTATATTTTGGATATTAGTCCCTTATTAGAGGAATAGCTTGAAAATATTTTCTCCCATTCTACAGGCTTTCTATTCACTCAGTTGTTTGCTGGGAAGAAGCTCTTTAGCTTAATGTAGCACTATTTGTATATCATTTGCTTTTCTGCCTATGCTTCTGATGTCTTACCCATAAAAATCTTTGTGCAGGCTAATGTCCTGAAGCATTTCCCTATGTTTACTTGTAGTAGTTTGATAGTTTTAGGCCTTTCATTTAAGTCTTCAATTGATTCTGAATTTATTTTGTCACATGGTGTTAGATAGAAATCTAGTATCATTCTTCTCTATATAGGTATTTAGTTTCCCCCAGTGCCATTCATTAGAAGAGGGTGTGTTCTTTCCCCATTGTATGTTCTTGGCACCTTAGTCCAAAATCAGTTGGCTGTAAATATATGGATTTATTTCTGGGCACTGTATTTTATGGCTTTTACCCCAAAAATCATTATTTCTTAAAATGCAATTCAAATTAGCATGAAACATTTTCAGTTTAGGGAAAGGCTTGTGGCATAAGGATCCTTGTTTACAGGAGTCATTATTTTTGTTGTTGTTGTTTTGAAATATGGTGATTGTATGTCATCCAGGCAGAAGTGCAGAGATGTGGTCAAAATTCACTGCAACCCTGAAATCTGGGTACAAGCCATTCTTTTGTCTCAGTCTCCCAACTAGCTGGATCTACAGGCAGAAGCCACCATGACTGGCTAATTTTTAAATTTTTTTTGTAGAAACGGAGTACTCACTATGTTGCTCTAGCTGATCTCAAATTTCTGGCCTCAAGTGATCTTTCTGCCGCAGCTTCCTAAAGTGCTGGGTTTACAGGCATGAGCCACCATGCTTAGCATAGAGTATTGCATTATTTTGAAAGTTTTATTCTGAGAGCAATTTATTGACTTTGACCTAAATAACTCAATACGATATTTCTGAAACTTTTTTGACAAATTATGGGAAATGATAATGAGAGAAGGGGGTGAGACACTTTTTATCAAGAGATAACCTAGTGCCATTTAAAAAGGAACAAAATAAATTATCAGAAAAGTAAAAGGAAGATCAAGTGCAAAAGGTCTATGGCAAAGATGATAATAGTAAGGAATATAATTTTGTGACTTAACTTTGTGGCCTTAACTTTCTTCTTGAAATTCTGAGTAATTTAGGGGTTCATATTTGAAGAATCTACTACATTACAGATAATATTTTATTGTAAGTAAATGCATTTCAAAATCTGCTATTGGTTCTGTATTAGATTATTCTCAGCCTACTTCATTATCAAGCTATATTGTTTTATTCATGCAGTTTGATGATCTTATAGCAGAGAAGGAAGCTGTATCTTCAAAACATGTCAGTTTGGCTAAAGACAATCAAGTTATTCAGCAGGAGTTATTATCTATGAGAAAAGTACAACAGGAATGTGAAAAACTTGAGGAGGATAAAAAGATGTTAGAAGAAGAAATATTAAATCTTAAGACACATATGGAAAACAATATGATAGAACTTGATCTAGTACGAGAATATACATTGGAGCTAGAAGAAAGGACAGTGCAGGTACTGGAAAAATTAGAAGAAATCCATTTACAGGTTAGTTTTTAAAATCAGGTAAGTTTATCTGTAATATGCTTTCAATCCTTTCACCGCAAATTATATTTTGGATATGTATATATTGTATTTCCTCTACATCTCTTATAACACTTTGTTTTGTAGATTTCTAGGGGAAAAAAATGGCATCTCTTCTCCCTTTTAAATATTTAAATTTTTATTGTTATTATAACAAAATCAACCTTTCAGAGTAGTGAGTCATTTGATTATTAAGACTAGTTGGCATAAGATAAAATTGTGATTTAGAAATTATGTGATACTTTTGAATTGGTCTTAAGCTACATTGTTCATTGCTCAGTTTTTAAAATTATAAATGTGCTCACAACTGTAATCCCAGCACTTTGGGAGGCCAAGGTCGGTGGATTACGAGGTCAGTAGATCGAGACCATCCTGGGCAACATGGCAAAACTCCGTCTCTACTAAAAATACAAAAATTAGCTGATCGTGGAGCCACGTGCTTGTAATCCCAGCTACTGGGGCGGCTGAAGCAGGAGAATCACTTCAACCCCTTCAACCCAGGAGGCAGAGGTTGCAGTGAGCTGAGATCATGCCACTAGACTTTAGCCTGGCAACTGAGCTAGACTTTGTCTCAAAAAGAAAATTATAAATGGATTATATTACTTTTTATATAACCAGATTACATTAATACTAACATAATAATGATTTTTAATGTTTATAAATCAGACAATTCTGAATTCAGTTATTAGTTTTGTTGATATTGTTAATAAATATTTTAACCTTCAGTCTTTTTTTAATGTATTTAAAATTGTTCTCTGAATCACTGACTCAAAATGAAAGACAACAAATATATGATAATTAGGTTACAATTGTTTTTAAACTGTATACTTTTTGTTTTAGAAACAAGCAGAATATGAAAAACAATTAGAGCAGTTAAGCAAGGATAATACAGCTTCACTAAATAAGAAGAAACTCACACTTAACGATGTGGAATGTAAACTCTCCAAAATGAAAACTGCTTATGAAGAGGTTACAACTGAATTAGAAGAATATAAGGAAGCCTTTGCATTAGGATTAAAAGCTAACAATTCCATTTCAAAAAAATTAATGAAGTAAGTCAAAACATACACTCATAGAAAATAAAATAAGCTCATCAAGTTGTTTTGAACATGTAATTTTTAGTGAGATGGCTTCAGGAGATTAGTAGGAAGTGAATGCTAATTTGATAATGTAATTTTGAAAAATAATAATAAGGAATCTTACCTTTAAAATATTAGTGAAGGATACTTTCTGTCTCTCTTTTTTTTTTTTTTTTTTTTTTTTGCTTTTTTATAGCTTTTTCCCCCTGAAAAGCCTCATGTAATTAACATGATCTATACTACATGTTTTTGAAGCTTTATAATTAATAAAGTGATTTTGTTATAAAATTACTTGTCAGGATTTCCCTAGATAGAAATATTAATGAGTTTAATTTTTTTTTTTTTGGGTGGATCACAACCTAAACCCAAAGTGCCAAACGGTACCGCTACTCTGGGCACATCCTGGCACTCAGGCATAGAACTGTGTTTGATTATGATCTTTAATGTTATCACTAGAGGGTATCTCAAGACAGACTATTTGGGTAACATTTTCAAGATGTTATTGAAAGGCATTTTTGTGAAATAGGGAATAATTATCACAGGAATGAAAACAAATATAATTCGCAAAGTGGCTAAAAAACAACTTGTTCAGCCTGAGGAGTGTGTGGAAGGCAGAAAGAACAAGCCCCGCTTCAAATGCCTTGATCAGTGTTAGAAGTAATTGCCTTCAGAGATGCTTTAGTTCTTTTTATTCATCAACCCAGCCATCTAGTTCTCCCCTAGGGGTTGCTGAATTATTCCTCAGTGCCAAATGCCTATTTTTTTTTTCTAGATAGTGGGTGAAATGTATAAGGGTGAAACCTGAAATGTGTGGTTTACTAAACACAAATAATTGTAGCTTTTTTTGTTCATTTTAGTTTTCTTAATCTACATTATTTAAGGAGTATAATATGATGTTTTAATATAATTATTTATAGTGAAATGGTTCTTATAGTCAAGCAAATTAAGATGTTATTTCCTCACATAATTACCCTTTATATACAAGTATTTCTAGTGGAATCTTCAGAATCTTACAAGTAGAGCCAATTTAGAAAACAGCAAGTGTTACCTGTTGAGCTGTACAACACTGATAGCCATTTCTCTTCCCTGTCTACCTTGTTTGAACTGCTTGTTTAGTACCTTGGAAACACATCTACTTCTTTAGAACAATTTTAAATTATAATTGCTTAAAACAGATATGCTCCCACACATCTTTGGTATTAAAGCACTTCTGAAACTATTCCAAACAATACAAAGAGGGAATCCTTCCCAAATCATTTTATGAGACCAACATCAACCTGATACCAAAAGCCAGCAAAGACTCAACAAGAAAAGAAAACTTCAGGCCAATATCCATGATGAACATAGATGCAAAAATCTTCAATAAAATACTGGCAAACCACTGCAACAGCACATCAAAAAGCTTATCCATCATGATCAAGTAGGCTTCATTCCAGGGATGCAAGGCTGGTTCAACATACACAAATCTATAAACATAATCCACCACGTAAATAGAACCAAAGACAAAAGCCACATGATTATCTCAACAGATGCAGAGAAGGCCTTCGACAAAATTCAGCAGCCTTTATGCTAAAAACTCTCAATAAACTAGGTATCGAAGGAACATATTTCAAAACAATAAAAGCTATTTACAACAAACCTACAGCCAATATCATACTGAATGGGCAAAAACTGGAAACATTCCCTTTGAAATCCAGCACCAGAAAAGGATGCCCTCTCTCACCACTCCTATTCAATATAGTATTGGAAGTTCTAGCCAGAGCACTCAGGCAAGAAAAAGAAACAAAGTGTATTCAGTTAGGAAAGGAGGAAGTCAAATTGTTTCTATTTGCAGATGACATGATTGTATATTTAGAAGACCCCATTGTCTCAGCCCAAAATCTCCTGAAACTGATAAGCAACTTCAGCAAAGCCTCAGGATACAAAATCAATGTGTAGAAATCACAAGCATTTCTATACACCAATAACAGACTAACAGAAAGCCAAATCATGAGCAAACTCCTATTCACAGTTGCTACAAAGAGAATAAAATACCTATGAATACAACTAACAAAGGATGTAAAGGACCCCTTCAAGGAGAACTACAAACTACTGCTCAACGAAATAAGAGAGGATACAAACAGATGGAGAAACATTACATGCTCGTGGTTAGAAAGAATCAATATCATGAAAATGGCCATATTGCCCAAAGTTATTTATAGATTCAATGCTATCCCCATCAAGCTACCAATGGCCTTCTTCACAGAATTGGAAAAAACCACCTTAAACTTCATATGGAACCAAAAGAGAGCCCACATAGCCAAGACAATCCTAAGCAAAAAGAACAAACCTGGAGGCATCACACTAACTGATTTCAAGCTATCCTACAAGGCTACAGTAATCAAAACAGCATGGTACTGGTACCAAAACATAGATATAGACCAATGGAACAAAACAGAGGTCCTGTAGGCAATGCCACACATCTACAACCATCTGATCTTTGACAAATCTGACAAAAACAAGCAATGGGGAAAGGATTCCTTGTTTAATAAATGATGTTGAAAAAACTGGCTAGCCATGTGCGGAAAGCAGAAACTGGACCCCTTCCTGACACCTTACACTAAAATTAACTCCAGATGGATTAAAGATCTAGACATAAGACCTAACACCATAAATACCCTAGAACAAAACCTAGGCAAAACCATTCAGGACATAGGCATAGGCAAGGACTTCATGACTAAAACACCAAAAGCATTGGCAACAAAAGCCAAAATAGACAAATGGGATCTAATTAAACTTCAGAGCTTCTGCACAGCAAGAAACCATCATTAGGGTGAACTGGGAACCAAAAGAATGGGAAAAATTTTTGCAATCTACCCATCGGACAAAGGGCTAATATCAAGAATCTACAAAGAACTAAAACAGATTTACAAGAAAAAAAAAAAACTCATCCAAAAGTGGCAGAAGGATATGAACAGACACTTTTCAAAAGCAGACATATATGAGGCCAAAAAACACATGAAAACAATGCCCATCTTCACTGATAATTAGAGAAATGCAAATCAAAACCACATTGAGATACTATCTCATGCCGGTTAGAATGGCGATCATTAAAAAATCTGGAGACAACAGATGCTGGAGAGAATATGGAGAAATAGGAACAGTTTTACACTGTTGGTGGGAGTGTAAACTAGTTCAACCATTATGGAAGACAGTGTGGTGCTTCCTCAAGGACCTAGAAATAGAAATTCCATTTGACCCAGCAATACCTTTACTGGGTATATACCCAAAGGATTATAAATCATTCTATTATAAAGACACATGCACATGTATGTTCACTGCGGCACTGTTTACAATAGCAAAGACCTGGAACCAACCCAAATGCCCATCAATGATAGACTGGACAAAGAAAATGTGGCACATATACACCATGGAATACTATACAGCCATAGAAAATGATGAGTGTTTGTGTCCTTTGTAGGGACATGGATGAACCTGGAAACCATAATCTTCAGCAAACTGACACAAGAACAGAAAATCAAACACCACATGTTCTCACCCATAGGCAGCTGTTGAACAGTAAGAACACATGGACACAGGGAGGGGAGCATCACA